AATATTCTCCTGTGGGCTGGTGTAACCAGGAGGTTCCTACCAGTATAAGTCAAAAATAAGTATATTGATCAAATTATAAGATTGCTGAACTAAATTTGGATTTAAAGCTTTCGTGACTGCAATGATTCATCTTCTTTGGTTCTTTCGGTAAAGTCACGTAGAATGAGAATAAAATAATAAATTGATAAAATAAAATAACACAATAATATTCTCACGACGTTACGGCCACAACACAAGCGGCCTTCATCAGGTGAATGGGGCGAGACTGTCTGGTAGGACAGCACTGTCCTACCAGACAGCACTGTCCTACCAGACAGCACTGTCCTACCAGACAGTCTCGCCCCCTTCACCTGATGAAGGCCGCTTGTGTTGTGGCCGAAACGTCGTGAGAATATTATTGTGTTATTTTATTTTATCAATTTATGATTTTATTCTAATTCTACGTGACTTTACCGAAAGAACCAAAGAAGATTGCTGAACTACTTTAGAGCCTGATTGAATCGAATAACATTCAAAAGCAAATAAACACGATGGTCTATTTGTGACCGGGCCTGAGACCAGCGACACACTGCAAATGTAAAAAATTGTAAAGGTGCAGGCTCTGACATTTGTGGCCAAAGCCACTTGCTGGTGTGCTTCCCATTACGCACGGTGCGAAAGAGGTTCAACAAACGCACATTGTGAGCCTGGATTCGAACCCAGACTGCTCAGCAGTGCTGACCCACTGCCCTTAATATCCGCGTAGCAGTGGCTTCCTGAACCATCAGAGATATACGACATGACCATTTCACGCGCTTCTGCGGTTGCATTTGTGTGAACGTAGGAGAGATATGATGAGCCTACGGTGAATTTTTGCGTGGCAGTATGGAATTGTGGAGTTTCTGAGCTCAGCCATCCACACACAGTACATGGCTAAATAATGTTGTGTGTTGGTGTAAATCGTTGCACGTCGCTGTAAACGCTTGCGTAATCGCAACGCGTACTAATGAACGTATTGGCGGTATATATTAAAAAAAAAAATTCGCGATAGCATTTTTTCCCCCAGCGATTTACAACCCCGGTCAGAAAACCTTGCGGGGTGGTTGCGTCAACATCAGTCCTCGTTGCTGTCGAGGCAGTTGGAAGACGAATGTCATTTAAAATATTTATTTTAGACCAGCGTTATGAGGACCGGTGGGTTATGCGGCATTGGTGTACTGCCAATACAACTACTAGTTGAACAATAACGGTTTGGGATGTGCCCCACACACACACACAGGGGCATGAGGGCACCTGCATCTACCACCATTTACATTCAATTTCTTCCAGAAAAGCAGGACCCGTTCCCGTCAAGCCCCCAAAACGCCTCCTCATCCCCCATGGTTCTCCATTGTGTTATCGGTCCTGGTGCATTCCAGGACAGCCCCGTACCTGGTAGGCGGGTCAATGAAGCCACGGGTGGCCAAGATGTGTGTGTGTGTTGTCGCTGTAAAACGGGATGGGAAGAGAAGGGGATGTAATTAAAATGTGTGAATTACGAATGATCACGCCCAGTCAGAGGTGACCGACCGCCTGTTGAGATGTGATCTCGCCGGGGCGGTAACCTTCAAGCGCCAGTGTAGATGATAGTGTATTGTGTATGTTTATATACTTGCACATGTGCACGCGTGTATGTGTGGGTAGCGGGGAACGGTGACGCAGTGGTTAGGGCCCTGCGCTAAGAATCCGGAACGACTCTGGATCGATTGCCGCTCATGGCCACCACAGGTGACGATTATCTGAACCGGTCCTGGGCCTCCCCAGGTCGACTCAGCCTCGAGTGAGTACCTTATGTGGTGTGTAAACATCGCCACTAGGGATACAAAGGCGGCCGGGCGTGGTACTGGCCACCCATCGCCTCGTGTGCCGTGCCGACCTTCATAGGTGTTCGCTAACAAGCACTTGCCCCAACAGTCTGATGAAAGCTATACAGGGGGTCTTTGTCTTTGTAGCGGTAGAGTGTGGTGTGGAGTGTGGTGGTGAGACGGGAGTGTGGTAGGGAGCGGTAGTGTAGCGGTTAGCGCACCGCACTATGAATTCGATGACCCAATTTCGATTCTCCCTCACAGCCACGACCAGTGATCAATATCATTCTGTAAAGGTTACACAGGGGTGATGTCTGTGTGTGTACACAGAGATCTCAGCAACCCGGGTTCAATTAATGACCACGATGCATATCATGATGCTTAATCATTGGTATCTAAACCGGGTCTACGCCTACATAATAGATTTCATATGGTCAGATATCATAAGTAAAATGTGCGTTATAACCCTTCCACCCACCCAACCCGACATAGCCAATTAATAAAGTTGCCACGTGAACAAACATACGATCCACAACGTTTAACAATTGGGTGTGACGTTTCGCCGGTAATTAAAACCATCGCCACCATTAATTTGCCATAAATCCGCGTCTCCGAACCATTTGTTGGCGAAAACGAGCTCCCAGTGATGTCGTGTGGCCAACACCTCCACCGAGGAATCAAAGGTGGATTGGTGGCTGATGGCCTAAGTGACTTTGGAAATTGCACCTGGTTATTATTGGACGAGGGCTGCAGTCTCATCCCAAGCGAGGAGCGGGGGGCGAAGACAACTTACCCCCCCCCCCCCCACCGAATGCCAAACGTCTAGCTGTGGCTCTGCAGAGGGGGCGGAATTTTTTGTGTCCCTTTCGTTTCAATTGTTCGATGGGTGCCGCCAACTCCATGGGGAGTGGTTTGAATCGGCCAATTGGCAGATGTAAAATCCATCTTACGAGGGGGCGGACAAACCAGGCCCCCCGTATTTTTGTTTTTTTTAAATCTACAGTATTTTATATTTATGGATTCTAAATGGCAAAAAAATTAACAACATGAACTTAGGATATCTGACCAAATAAAATCTATTATGTAGGCTTATATAGCCTACTGAGCTATATAGATATTTTTCATAAACGACCTGGCCACAAATAATAGCTCAGTGAAGTGGAATATCACGTGGCAATTGATAGCAGCCAAATACTCAAAATGCGTGTGTCTAAATGTGGAGGGAATTAACCGGTGGACCTGCAAAATAATCCACGCAACTCCAAATATGCAAACTCCACATATACATGGGTCAGGATCAAACCCACGACCTCCAGTATACCAGACGAGGTAGTTAATATCTCGCCACAGTAGCGCCCCTATATAAAATAGCGATAAGCTAATGCTAAAGTGGCGTGCCGCCAAAACACCCTCTACAGACCAGCTGCCACTGCGAAAGTTGGCCAGTTGTGTGCAGCTGCCCAACTTTCACATCATCGTATGTGCCCGGCTGACTTTGAAAGCCACATTTACAAATGCATGTATTACTTATCAGCCTGTCTACGATGATTTTGATGTGTTGTACGTGGGTGTGTGTTTTTGCATAGCCGTGAATGTTTTATAGTCTCGGAGATGTTTTAAGTGGCTTTGATCTTCGGATATAAATTGCTTGCTCATACCTCGCAGCTCATTATCAATCTCCATTCAGATGCAAATGAAGAACATCCTCATTATACACTTGCAGTGAATTGTGTGCATATACTCCCTGAGGAATTGGTCACATATTCCTCCTCCAAGCGAGACTCTCTTGAAAATAGGCTTCAAATTTTGTTTCCGTTACGGGAAGGAAGTTAATCGTCAATCGCCACTACGAACGGCCTCGAATGAACGATACACATTTTACAATGTATGACAACTACAGTAACCACTAGACCACTTCTCTGGTCTCCATAATAATAATCCAATAATCCCTTAAAACCTCTGTCCGACATCCAGGGATGTTCTTGTAAAGTGTGGAATCGGTATCTCTCATTGATTGACAAATTGACCAACAAGCATACGATGAGAACTCAGTCAGGCCGTATGCGGTCTGTCGTGTCGTGTGTCTTTTTGAACTATATCCTCTTACATGCACCGGAGGCACGAGTAGACCTCGACATTGAGCATTTAAGCTCCTCAACACAACGCCATACTCGAGAATAGAATGCAGTGGTAGAATAACGGTTAGCGGCACTGCGATACGAACCTCGGGGACCCGAGAGTTCGATTCTCGCTCATGACTAATAACAATTGAGAACATTTGAACCGGTCCTGGGCCTCCCCTAGGTCGACTCAGACTCGGATGAGTGCAGTACCGGGTGTTGTGTCGCCGCTGGGGAGACAAAGGCGGCTGGGCATGGTGTTGGCCACCCACCCCCTCTTGCGCCTTCCCGGCCTTCATAGGTGATCGCGTACAGCACTTGTCCCAATAATCTCTCGTGGCTCTACAGAGGATCATTGCGTTTGCATATAGACACACACATTTATGGGAAACGGTAGTGGTGTGCTTAGCGCGCTGCGCTCCGAACCCGGCGACCCGAGTTCGAACCCCACTCACGGCCAACCAACACCATTGACAATTATCTGAACCGACTCAGCCTCAAATGAGTACCTGGCGCAGTGTGCAAACATCGCCACTGGGGAGTCAAAGGCGGCCAGGCGTGATGCTTGGCCACCCACACCCTCGTCTGCCATGCCGACCTTCATTAGTGCTCGCTAACAGCGCTTGCCACCACAGCCTGCGAAGGCGATACGCGGGCTGGGGGGGGGTTAATCTTCGTCTCATGTACACACACAACACACACCACACACACACGTGTGTTGTGTGTTGTGTCACAGAAAACCGTGCCCAGCCCAGGCATTCCGGAATGCGTTCAACTCTTCGCTGACGCGCGCGCATTTTCCGCCTCCACCTCCTCCAGCACTGTCACGCGGCTCTCCTCGAGACGTCGATCGGGAGACTCGAAGAGGCGGAGCCCCGCGGCTTCTCAGCCTCGCTCGACATCCCCACTCGGCTTCGCCGGGGCTTTGCGCCAATTCGCCGCGCTTCGCGAACAGCGAACTTACTCGGGTTCGTTGACGCTCGAACGGGGTGGTGGTGACTTTGCACGAGGGCCGGGGGATGTGACCCGCGTTGTGTCGTGGGGGGCAGGGGGGCAGGGAGGGGGGGGGCGTGTTGTAGGACGGTGGATGCGGGATTGTTGGGTGCCAAGGGGGTTCCGTCGGTAGCGTGTTCACGCCGATAGAAAACTGCTCGTGTGTAAGAGAGTGCGTGCCAGGCTGTAGGGTTCTGTTTGTAGGATTGCAGACATTAGTGGGGATCGGTGTAGGAGTCTGGGTTCTTGGGTGTAGGGCAGCCCTGTAGGGTGCTTGCTTTGTTTTGGGTTCTGCGTGTAGGGTGCTTTGCTGTAAGAGTTCCCGTGGGCACGGTTTAAACTTTCGAGGGTCACCTAAAAATAGGGGCGCGCAGATTATAGCAGGGTGCTGGTGTGTAGGCTCATCGGGCATAAAAAAGGGCTATTATGTGCCTGTGGAAAAAAAAGGTTACCCGGGCATAGAATGTGCCCTCAGTGCTGGTGTCTGAGTGACAGGCGCATGCTATTGAGTTCTGGGTGTTGAGTATGGAAGGGATCGGGCATAAAGAGGCGTCGAGTGCTTGCGTTATAGGGTCCCGAGTGTTTGCTGCCCGGTGCACATTATAGGATGCTTGTTGTAGGAGGTCAAGCGTAGGGGTGCAAGGGGGGTGGGTGTGTGTGTGTGTTGTGTTCTACACACCGAGTGTTGGGCGCTTGCACGTGCAGCGATGTCGTTGGGAGAGAGGATCGATGCTGCTGCTGCTGCCGCCGCCGCCGCCGCTGCTGCGCTCAACGGAAGCGAGCGCGCGTCCGCTCGGACCCCGGGAAGCAACCGGAGCAAGGAGTACTACTGGGACTTTGAGTACTACGACTATGAGCCCATCTCGTTCGAGGGACTGCGCGCTCACCGCTGTGAGTAGAAGCGTTCTCGGACCTTCGCGAGCCCACGGCAACACGCGATGTTTGTCGTCACCCAGAACTTCTTCTCTGATGTCCGTGAGCCCAGAGCAGAGGTTTCAGTTGTGGTGCCGTAACTTTTAATTCTTTCGCGCGGACTAATAGCAGCGACGTGTCCGTGTTAATCGAGTGCGGTTATCAAGTAATTCACTCTTTTTGGCTGTATACAAAAAAAGGGAGGGGGGGACCGCTAAAGAGTTGAAACTTTATTCGGTATCAATTGCCCCTGTCGGAACTGTGGACTATGTATCTGCAGTGTCCGTGAGTCATATGGCGCACAGTTCAGTATATCGTCGCGTCTTTGTGGACTGGAGAGGGGTAGGCGAGTGCGTATCGCACGGCCACGACCAACATCGTCGGTGGTGCAGTGCCGGATCATCCTCGTAGCAAAAGTAGCTACACATGTAGTAGCTACTACTACATATGTAGTAGCTACGGGCCTCGCACTTTCAAGAGCCCCGCGCTAAATGCTTTCAAGCTATCAATTCCGGTTCAGTGATTCTGCACTTGCTCTATTACTATAGTACTATACCGCCTTCAACTTTTATGAACGACTGGGTGTTTAAGGTTAGCGATTTATCGTATTATCTGGCTGCATAGCAAATAAAAAATGCAGTGACTTTACAGTGACTAACTTCTACAAGTTAAAAAAAAATTGTGTTTTAATATTTACGTGTTTTGTTTTAATTTAGGGCCCATTTACAACATATGCTACAGGCCCTGCACTGGCTTAATCCGGCACTGCGGTGGTGTAGATTTGAACTAGTTCTGGGGAGGGGCTCTATCGAGGTTGACTCAATCTTAAATGAGTGGCTGGCATAAATATGAGCACTGGGTGGACAACGGTGGGTCAGGGAATGTTCTGGAAACTACCACTCGAGCAGTGCTGGCCTTCAAGGGCGTCACGGAGGTGAGATGTTATCTCCCTCACCTGGTACGCAGGAGGTCGGGGGTTCGATCCCGATCCTGACGCCTGCTGCTGCGTATTTGGAGTTTGCATGTCCTAATAAAGTATTAAAGCTTTCGTGACTGCATAAAATTACTCATTGTTTTTTTCTTGGTGGACTTGTATATGTATTTCTACTGACCGTGTACCTCGTATTTTTCATTCTCTCTATGCTGGTATGTGCAATCCAAAGGTTGAACACGACATTTAACACTCTTCTGAAATTCGTGGTCCGCCAGGAAGTGTCTAACTGTGTTGTTTGCCTGACTGGATGCGCTTCACATAATGTTTTTTCAGGTTTGTTGAATTCTCGTCTCTCATCTTTTTGTTGTATTTACCTCCGTGATTTGTTCTTGACCGTTGTAATTATGTGTAAGATGTGCCCTTTTTTGAGCTGCCGTTTTGTATTTACAAGAGGTGGTCATTTTTTGAGCTGCCGTTTTGTATGTGTAAGATGTGCGTGTTTGAGCTGCCGCTCTCTCTGGCCCCTCCCCCCCCTCCAACCGTATTTCCTATTTAAGCTTCTGTTCATCCCTCCGCCCCCCCCCCCCCTCTCTCTGCCTCCCTGTCCGTCTTTCCTCCCTCCTTACCTCTTGGTGGACTTGTATATGTATTTCTACTGACCGTGTACCTCGTATTTTTCATTCTATCTATGCTGGTATGTGCAATCCAAAGGTTGAATACGAAATTTAACACTCTTCTGAAATTCGTGGTCCGCCAGGAAGTGTCTAACTGTGTTGTTGGCCTGACTGGATGTGCTTCACATAATGTTTTTTCAGGTTTGTTGAATTCTCGTCTCTCATCTTTTTGTTGTATTTACCTCCGTGATTTGTTCTTGACACCTGATGAAGATCGCTTGCGTTGTGATCGAAACATCGTGATTGTTTTTGTTTTAATATAATTTTATTGTATTTCTACATACGTGACTTTACCGAAAAAAACAGTGAGTAATTTGCATGTCCTCCCCGTGGTCGCGTGGATGATTTTTTTTCCGGGTCCTCCAGTTTTTCCCTCCACATGTAGAAGCATGCTTTTTAGACTATTTAGATGATTTTGCTGCTGTAAATATCCAAATGAAAAGCCGCTTTTTTGAGCTATCATTTGTGCCAGGTCGCTTTGTAAAAAAATAATGTGATACCTGAGTGGGCTTTGCCTGGTAGAATGGGGGATGGTTTAGTTGTATTTGTTTGTGTTTGGGGTCATTTGTTGACCTTTCTTGTACTTCACACTCCTATCGTGTTGTCGTCCTGTTGTTGTAACGTTCTTACCCGGCCCTACTGGACATCTGTTGAAAAGAGCTTTATATCTCATCGGATTCCTCCAGGATGAATACTTATTTGATTCTGACTTGCCCCAGCAGCCTATGGTTACTTTGGTGGTTCTTTTTGTTTGTATGTGTGACCAGAATACCGTGTTGCATACGGTCAATTCGTCTGTAACATAATTACAACATATTTATATATATATGTGTGTGTGTATGTATGTATGTGAACACTTTTATCCCAATTGGGCTATCAGTATCGTGTCATGAGATAGTTTCCAGGGGCATAATTTATCACTGTAAGTAATCTCGGTCACTGTTAGGTTAATGTAGGCATGTGTGACGAGTCATAGCCACACCGATTGATGGAGGTGGTGTGCTGGGCAAGGGACACATTTGCAATGTCACTGACCAGGACAGACCCAGCTGAAATTAAGCCCAGGAAGCGTACATTCGGAACTCTCGCAAAGCATTGAAACCCCTATCATATTATAGGGCAGCCCATAAAACTGGATATCACAAAACTACCTCTGAGGTAGCACGAGGTGAACTCTGTTACACAAAGTAGGGGGCAGCACTTTCCTATCTGCTCTGCCACACAAGAGTAATGTCCGTCGCATGGCAGTGAGACTGACATTAAAATTCTCAGAGGTAGAATTTGGAGAAAGGCAGCGTAGAACCAAATTAATGATAGGGTTTTTTTTGTGCAGTCATTTGTGACAAGACTGAGAATTTCTGTGCTCTGACCTCTCAGCCACCATAATTTGCGCTTTATGTAAGAAACCTGCACGCTCGTTTCAACTGTCAGCAGGAGGTCGAACCAGCGAGCTCAGGATTGCAGGTCCAATCTTGTGACTAATACACCGTGGAAGCGGCAGAACGAACGCATTTCCATTAATATGTAAGTGTAGCTTCTGTGTGAATGCATCCAGATGACTAGAACGTTTAAGGGCTTGCATCTGCTAAATAATTTCAGACGTTGTGTGTGCAAATCCTGAAGTGGCGTATTCTCCCTGCCACCTCCTGTCTCCACCTCCCGTCATCGGTATACGCATGATTGGAGGTCTCTATCTCTACTCTCTTCTGTCCCCATGTCTACGGAACCTTCTTTTCTTTCACCGTCATTTCCACCCCCAGGCAATGCACGTCTGCTGCCTATGATTGATGGGTCTACCTGCCTTTACGTATAACCTTGCCTGTCTCATTGTTTCATGGAATCGTGGCTAATACGTGATTTCTCTCATCTTACACCTCTTTATTTCTGCTTTTTCCTTGCCTCGACCTTGATATATATTTCATTATTCATTGCCCAAACCTCATTAAGTATTGCCCTTTCGTGACTGCGCGGGATCTATTGGTTAATTTACATTTTGACTGTAAGAGAAAACACCGTGTCTCTTGTATATATACGTGCATGCTCTCTTTCAACCCTGTACGTGAAATGTCACTGTTCGGTCCTCAGTGCCTGAAGATTCCTCTTGCCAGACAGTCACTTCCACCACTCCACCCTACCACACGTTTATATACAACTAGCTTTACTACGCGGCTTCGCCCGTGACTTGAATTCACCACTCCCGGCCGCCTTTATCTCCCCAGTGGCGATGTTCACACACCACACCAGTTACTCGTTTGAGGCTGAGTCGACCGGTTCAAATAATCGTCACCGATGGTGGCCGTGAGCGGGAATCGAACTCGGGTCGCTGGGTTCGTAGCGAAGCGCGCTAAGCACTACACTACCGCTCCCCCCACACACACACACGCGCGCGCGTCCATAGGTACACATACACGCGCTTGCTGCAGACACACACAACTTTCAGGGTACGTACAGCAGTAAACGACTGAAATAATAAACAAATGCTGCGCGAAGAACGCCTTAGCCCTTTTATATATATAGAGAGATATGTGCATTTATAGCCCCATGCATGTCATGCGTTAAAATAAAAAAGAAGCTGATTCATCAGATTTGACCTCTCACCAAACTTCCCACAATGCTCCTTATTTAATCGAATCTCGAAAGCTAAGCAAGGTATTTTTAAATTTATTTTTGAGCCCGGCATTTGCTGCGACGGGTGATGACCGTGCATGGCAGACGGGGGCGGTCGGTGTTGTGGGCAGCAGAGGGCAGTGCGGGAAAACATTCATTGGTGTCCTGCACTTCTCCCATCGTCAACAAGCCGCACGGACCAGCGTGGTTGAAGTTACGGGTCGACTCATCCCCATGGCCTGCAAAGAGTGGGGAAGCCCTCATCCAGCAGTGGATCGAAAATGTGCTGTACGTGCCCAGTGCAATTATTATTGTCATCCATCGTTGGAAGTTGAACGTACATACGTGAAGGACCCTCAGTGCTGTATCGGCAACTGGGGTTTGTTTTTGCCATGTCGTTCATTGCAGGTTGGTGGAGGGGGAATCGAACTCGGCTCGTTGGGTTCATTGCAGAGGACATCAATCACTTTTTTCCATCGCTCCACCGCAATACATGGATTATTAAATAAATACGATGCGACGTGTTCACATTAATCATTGCATTGTATGTGCATCTGTGGAAGGTGGCGTGATGATGGCCACCCACCCCCTCGTGTGCCGTTCCGACCTTCAATGAGTGTTCGTTAACGGCACTTGCCCCAACCACCTCGAGCGCTCGAGGTGGTAACAGAAGCGCATCCGAGAGCGCGCGATGCGGTAGCCGTCTTTCTCCGACGGTGAGCCAAACGTCGCTGCGAGGATCGCCGAAGTTTGCGTGATGGTCT